CATCGCTTGGTAGATTTCCACTTGTGATGAATTCTATGATTGGGTCCATTCAGGATGGTTCGTTGTCAATGTCCATGATATCGAGGATTTGACTGATGCTGGGTTCTGTGATGATTTTAATGTGAACTGTTCTGTCAAGGCCGTCTACCCCCATGAACACAAGTCTGGATAATGCGTCAGCTTTTCCATTGTCCTTTCGAGCAATTTTTGTAATTTCACAGCTCTTGAATTTTCGTTGAAGATCCTGAACCTTCATACAGTACAAACTCATTTTCTCCTCCTTCCTTTCAAATGATCCTTCAATCTGTCCGACCACTAGCTGCGAATCGCTGAATATCTTTATGAACTCGAGCTCTAGGCAAAGGGCTAGCTCAAGAGCAATAACGACGGCCTCATACTCGGCCTCGTTGTTGGTTGCTTCAAACTCGAACCTGAGAGCGCATTGGATCTCTGTTTGTTTGTCAGGGCTGATGATGATGACCCCTGCGCCCGAGCCCGAGGAGTTCGATGCTCCATCCACAAATATTTGCCAAGTGTCCGAATTAGTGCTCATGCTCGAGCTATCACCTGGCCCCTGAGGCATGGGGGTTAGTTCTGCAATGAAGTCGGCTAGAGCTTGGGCTTTGATAGATGGGCGTGGTTTGAATTCTATGTCAAATTCTCCAAGCTCGATTGCCCATTTCATCAGTCTTCCTGATACGTCCGGCTTCTGAAGTATATGCCTAAGTGGTTGATTAGTGAGCACCACAATAGGGTGAGACTGAAAATACTGCCGGACTTTCCTTGCTGCTGTAACCAAGGCAAGGGCAAGTTGTTCCGCCAACGTATACCTGGTTTTCGCGTCCAGTAGGACCTTGCTTACATAGTAGATAGGTTGCTGGACTTTGTTAACCTCTTTCACCAAGACCCCGCTGATAGCGTTTTGAGATACGGCCAAGTACAAAAATAAGGTGTCACCAGGCTCAGGCCTAGTGAGAATTGGAGGAGATGCTAATGTCTGTTTGAGCTCCTGAAAAGCTTTCTCACAGTCTTCACTCCAATCAAAGCCTTGGTTTCCTCTGAGGACTTTGAAGAAGGGATAGCACCTGTCTGATGCTCGGGACATGAACCTGTTCAAGGCTGCTATCCTACCAGTCAACTTCTGTACCTCTTTCTTGTTCCTTGGTGATTCCATAGACGCTAATGCTTGTATTTTGTCAGGGTTGGCCTCTATCCCCCGGTGAGTGATCATGAAGCCCAAGAACTTGCCCGAGACCACGCCAAATGCACATTTTGCGGGGTTCAACTTCATTCCGTACTTTCGCAAGGTGTTAAACACTTCTTCAAGATCTGAAATATGTTGGTCCACCTGTTTGCTCTTGACCACCATGTCATCGACGTACGCTTCTACATTCCTTCCAATCAAGCTAGCAAAGACTTTGTTGATGAGTCTTTGGTATGTTGCCCCTGCATTCTTCAAACCGAAAGGCATGACCTTATAACAGTATATGGTGGAATTGGCCATGAATGAGGTCTTTTCTTGATCTTCCTCTGCCATGAGGATTTGATGATAACCAGAAAATGCATCCAAGAAGCTGTATAGCTTATGTCCAGACGTGCTATCCACCAAGTTGTCAATCCGAGGTAGGAGATAACTATCCTTTGGACATGCTTTGTTAAGATCTGTGAAGTCAATGCAGACTCTCCACTTACCATTGGCCTTCCTCACTAAAACAACATTGGCAAGCCAATCGGGATATTGGACCTCCCGAATGAACCGAGCACTGATGAGTTTGTTAATTTCTTCGCGGATGACCTCCCGATGCTCTGGGGTGAACTGTCTTTTCCTCTGTTTTACTGGCCTGGACCCTGGGCTAATGTTAAGCCTGTGGACTGCAATTTTAGGGTCTATCCCTGACATGTCCTCAACCTTCTAGGCAAAAACGTCAATGTTTCGAGATAAGCAGCCGACAAGTTCTGTCTTTAGGGTGTCGTCAAGACCCCGACCAATAGTCACCTTTTTATCATGCTTGAGCTCAATTTCCATCAATTCTTCGATAGGGGCAAGTCTGACTTGTTGCCCGTCTTCGGGATCAATCCTCGAGATTTGCATGACGTCGTTATTTATTTCCCGAACGCTGACAACATAGCATTGTTTGGCAGCTGTCTGATCTCCACAGGCGATCCCAACGCCATGACTTGTTGGAAACTTCATGGCCAGGTGGAAGGTAGACACAATGACTTTAATCTTGTTTAGGAGTGGTCTTCCCAGAATAGCGTTATACGCCATTAAGACACGTACCACTTGGAAAGATGTCATCTCCGTAACCTGTCTCTGGCTAGAATCCAAAGTTAGAGGGAGCTCAACGACACCCTTTGGAGTGATGACTCCTCCACCAAACCCCTGGAGAGGAGTTTTAACCGCTTTGAGCTGGTGAGTCGAGATTCCCATTTTGGCAAAAGCTTCATGTGAGAGTATATTGGCCGCACTCCCGTTATCAACCAAGATCCTCTTTACTTCAAAATTGGCCAAAATTGCTGAGATTACCAAGGCATCATCATGTGGGAATGATACGCCTTCTAAGTCTCCGGTCCTAAAAGTAATATCCTCCAGCTTTCCATGGGGCATCCCAGAGGCCAAGGCATATCGTCGGGCATATTGTTTTCTTTCGCTGTTGGAGTCTCCTCCCGAGGCAATACCTCCAACGATGATATTGATGGTTCCAGCAGTGGGTTGACCATCCCTTTTTGCCTCAGGGACTTTTTCCCTGCCACGATCATTCCTCGGACGTTTGTCGTTACCGACGTAGAAACTCAAGAGTCCTCTTTTAATAAGGGCTTCAATCTCCCGTTGCAGGGCCTTATAGTTCTCCGTGGTATGCCCATGATCCCGATGGAACTCACAGTACTT